CTTTTTTGTTTTTCTATTTCTATATATTATTTTGCAATTATTGTACTAAAACTACCTGTACAATTTTAATAAAATTAAGCAAAATAATAAACTTTGCATTATTTAAATTACTTTACTCCCCAGTATTAATTTATTGAGTCACCTATTATTTTTTACCACTTAAAACAAAACAACAACAAAAAACGAAGATTTATATCTTAAATATTTTTTATAACAAAAAATACTGGAAGTTGGTTATGAAAAAAATTGCTATAGGTACGTTATAACGCAAGTGACATTTTGCTTTAGTTGTTTATTTAATGTATACTTTATAAAGTTAAAAATAGTATTTTAAAATGAAAATTAAACCGAAATTCAAGTTAAGCCATGAAGAAAATCGAAAAAAGGTATGTGCTGGCTGTGGAGACAAAATTGTTTTTGGTAATCGAAAAATTCAGAGTTTAGGGTTTCTGAGAAAATATAAAAATTACTGCAGACTTTTTCAAACGAACACTTTAACTTAAATTATTCAAAATTACTTACTTCAATATGGTAAAAACGGTATTTTTGCATAGCCACAATTGCCAAATTTTTAAAATTTAGAAATTGCTAGAGAATTTCGCGGCAGCCAAAAATGTATGTGCTTTATCTGCAAAATGGCAAGATATAAAGGGCATAAATAATTATTAAGGGAAGAGGACGGACGAACGAACTAAAGTTTTGATATGCTCTTCCTTTCTAGTGGATATCGCTAGATGTAAGAAGCATGTTTGTACAGAGACTGAAGAATTTAAAAATACTGTTTCCATGTTAAAAACAATTCCATGTAAAACCCAATAAAAAGTTTTACTGAAAATTTAAGGCAAGCAGTAATCGATTTTGCTTCAAAGAATCTTTAGTTATTTATTAGTTTTGTATTAGGTACCTTAAAACAATAAATAAGATATTACAAACTGTATTTTACATTATTTTGTATTTATAATGTAATTTATCCATATTTCAGTCATGTATCTGCCAAATTTTTAAAAACATTTGATAATGGTACTAGAGTATTTTATCGAAATGGTATAAACAATTTTAAAATACTAAGAAATATGCAAAACTTTAATAAAGGATCAGCTCGGATTTTGATAAATACATTTTTGTGTTACCAAAAGAGTCTATAATCAGATTATGCTATCAGTTTTGGTTGGCATTTTTGTTCGTCCTATACTTTAGTTTGACCACCGTGTACAGTGGACAAAAGAGTGTTTTATACAGGGTGGCATTTAACTTGAAACTTTGAAATATATCAGTTAGTAGATATATGCATTTTATGAAATTTTTTTTTAAATAAAAATTACCTTCGACTTAAATGCATTTATTAACTCGCATTTCGCTCGATATTCCCAAATCCCTAGATAATTCTCGTGTGCTTGCATGAGGATTAGCGGCCGTTGCTGCTAATACATTAATTTCATTATTTCCACATTATTTGACTGTTGCTCGACGAACTCTTTTTCGGTTGAACACTCCCGTTTGTAGTAAACTGCTTACTGTACGGTGAAATGAAGTACGTGATCGAATTTTTTCCGGAAAACGCTGAGCGTAAATATTAACAGCATCATCAAGATTCCTGCCTGCTTCTCCATAAATCAAAATCATTTCTATGTTTTCTTCCACTGTTAAGGAATCCATTATGAATAACTGCTTAACGAAAGGAGGTCTTTTTGTTTGCAAATTAATCTTCGAAATAATTTAATTAAATGAAACTATAAATAGTTTCTTTATACCTCAATAATAATCATTATTTATAACAAATTACCATTTTTTATACCTGAATTAGGATTAAATTAATTAATTAACAAAATAATGTTTTTTTTTTACCTTAAATGAGGTATTTTTATTAAAAATAGTACAATAATCCTTTAAATTAAAGGATTTAATGCTGGCAGGTAAAAAGTGACCATGGTGCGCAATTAATAATTATCACCGAATTAAATAATGTATAAAACTTAAACCAAAGAAAACTTAAATATTAGTTAAAAAATCGTGGGTATACTTAAAAAAATCAGATTTAATTTAATAAGATAATTATTAGCAAAAAAAGTGATATTTTTATAGAAAAATTATTGCAGAATCGTATACAGAAGAAAAATCGAACAAAATTGATTTTTTTATTACAGCGCCATCTATTACAAATATGAAAAAGTTTTAGACAAAATCAACCTATTTTTAGTCGAATGATCCGAATCTGCAATAAAAAATAGGGTGTTCTATTGGAAATTTTAAAGTTACCCCCTGTTCCCCCTATAAGGGGGAGAGTATGAGGACCAATTTTAGAACTGATTGATTTCCCCCCTCGAATCATTTAATTTTTATTTTAATCTTTTTTTCGTAAAATGCATACTAACTGAGATATTTCAAAGTTTAAAGTTTCTCATCACAGTTTTCCATTTTTTCTTTAGTCGCTTATTACTCTAACCATTTAAAAGATATTCAAAATTAAAGTTTGAAGAATTTAATTTTTTTTAATAATTTTGTGACTTATTGAAAATTAATTATGGCATATTTTTGTAGGAAATTTTACGCTCTACAAAAAAGTTATGATGTGTTTAATTGATTACCTACTCTAACCGTTGAGAAGATATTCGTATTAGTACCTACGCATTGGGATTCGTATATATTTTGCATATTGCTATCATTAGGTTTAAAAAAAGTGATAATTTTTTAAATATTATAATTTATTTGTTTATTTATATACACATTTTTATAAAAACCTTGAGGTTAAACAAAAATGCTTTACCATACATTAAATTTAATAATAGTAGCATTGTTTATGTTTTTAAAGAAAAAGGATAATATTTCAAATTATTCAGAATTAGGTAGATTCAATTTTATTAAAAATAATTTTACACATTATATTCAGGGTGTCACGAAAATGGATTAAGTTCTGACAGTGTACAGTGTGTTAAATTAATTAGCTAGATAATTAATTTAACACGCCATTTTCTAGACACCATGTATATTAAATTTATGAATAAATGTGTGAATGCTGACCCAGTTCCTCAAAGTTCCAGGTTTATTAATAGTTTTCTGAAACATTTCTGTTACATGTACAGTTGACGACATTCAAATGTGAACGATTTTTGGGTGTCGTGGATTTTTTTAAAGAAATTTATTCCTGTAAGTCTGGCTTTTCCCAGTGGCGTAACAATGAAAGGGTAGAATATAAAGAACAATAAGATATTGCTTTAATAATTAATTTTTAAGTGGTAAAACACAAAGTTCAATATAAAAATATAGCATTTTTAGTACCATGACCTAGACCTAGGTTTGTTATTATTAAATTGGGTACGTATTCATACGTAATTCTGCGAAATTGTTTTATAAATATTTATTATGAATTAAGAAAATCTGATAAATCGTGATATGTTCATAGTATTTTACCGTTCTACTACTGACTGACTATTTTTAAATGACCTTATAAAAAATTTGTATTTTAAAAATAAGAAGTTATATGATTTGGTCTCAAGAAATGCGTATGACGTTTATGTTTTTTTAAATAAATAAAAAATCATAGAACTTAATGAATCAAATCAAATCAAATTAAATGTAATTAATAATACAATAATATCATAATTCAATTATGTTTTGTTGCAAACAAAGGTATTGATTAAGTTATATAAAAAAAATAATCTGCGATATATTAATTTAAAATCAGTTCTATTGGAATTAAATTGAGATTACAAAAAACTGATTTGTTATTTGGTATTTTTTGTGCGATATAATTTTATGTTTTTTTATCAAATGAAAAATTTTGGAAAAAACAATTTGCATTGTTATTTTCCATAACAAACTATACCTGGTGAAACCTGCATTTCCCAAAATTTGAATTGAAGTTTTGTTTTAGAAAAATATAACGTAATGATTTTTAAATGTGTTTTTTTATTATTGGAAAAATAAAGTTTTTTTGTACAAAAAATAAAAAAAATTACTTACTAGTTTTTGTCATGATTAACGTTCTAATGGAATTAAATTGTGTGATATAAATTTTAATATTTTTTTATCAAATGAAAAATTTTGGAAAAATAATTTTTATTGTTATTTTCCATATCAAACTAAACCGGGTGAAAATTGCATTTCCCAAAATGTGAATTGAAGTTTTGTTTTAGAAAAATATAATGTAATGATTTTTAAATGTTTTTTTTTTATAATTTGAAAAAAATAAAGTTTTTTTTTTGTACAAAAAATAATAATAAAATCTAATCTAATCTAATGAAATTAAATTGAGATCAACAAAAATTTTTGATTTGTTATTTGGTATTTTATGTGTGATATAAATTTTAATGTTTTTTTATGAAATGAAAAATTTTGGGAAAAACAATTTCCATTGTTATTTTCTATAACAAACTATACCGGGTGAAAATTGCATTTCCCAAAATTTGAATTGAAGTTTTGTTTTAGAAAAATATAACGTAATGATTTTTATATATGTATGTTTTTTTTATAATTTGAAAAAAATAAAGTTTTTTTTGTACAAAAAATAATAATAAAATCTAATCTAATCTAATGGAATTAAATTGAGATCAACAAAAATTTTTGATTTTTTATTTGGTATTTTATGTGTGATATAAATTTTAATGTTTTTTATGAAATGAAAAATTTTGGGAAAAACAATTTGTGAAAATTGCATTTCATAAAATTTAAATTGAAGTTTTGTTTTAGAAAAATATAACGTAATGATTTTTAAATATGTTTTTTTATTATTTAAAAAAATATTTTTTTTGTACAAAAAATAATAATAAAAAAAATTACTTACTAGTTTTTGTCATGATTAACGTTCTAATGAAATTAAATTGAGATCAACAAAATTTTCGATTTGTTATTTGGTATTTTATGTGTGATATAAATTTTAATGTTTTTTTATCAAAGTTTTGTTTTAGAAAAATATAACGTAATGATTTTTAAATAGTTTTTTTATTATTTGAAAAAATAAACTTTATTTTTGCACAAAAAATAATAATAAAAAAATTACTTACTAGTTTTTGTCATGATTGACGTGTATAGGGTGGTTCTTCTTGCCTCCCATAATTCCCTCCAAGAAAGCCACAACACAAAAATCCAAAACCGAAATAAGTCACAGCACTCCAAATCTTCGTTCCTCGTAACTGATACTTCCAACTGAAATAAAACAACACGCCAACTTTGAGTAAGAACCGCACTAATTCAAATCGACTGGCTAAAAAAATCGCACTTGGCTGTGCTACGTACGTAACAACCTTAAGGTGGCTATGGGTCTGTCGTTTTATTTATAGCGAGGCAGCAGTCGTTTGACGCGGGTTTGTGTGATTGACAAACACTTTTCGAACACTCTATATATCAGCTATATCAGCTCACGTGATGATGTTCATTGAACGAGGTCTTACTACTTTAAGTTATACCTACCTTGTTGTTTGTCTATGTACACACATATCTTTTAGTGGAAATTTACGAATGTCTGGTAGATTTTTTTCGTTTACTGCACAGAAAAGTGAAATTCCTATGAAATTTAGAAGAAGAGAAAAAAGTAATTTTTTGTAGGAAATTAAGTTATCTATAAAATATGTCAAATAAGTCGAATATCCAATATTAATATTTTTGGAGATATACTATATCTCCAAAAATATTAATATTGGATATTCGACTTATTTGACATATTTTATAGATAACTTAATTTCCTACAAAAAATTACTTTTTTCCTAATATATAAATAAATTAAGAGATATACTATATCTCTTAATTTATTTATATATTAGGGTGTCCTTTATTTAGCAACTTGGTTTTTTTTGTTCGCAGCGCCCCCTAAATTTTTAGTTTATGAAAAAAATTTTTATAATAAACCGTGCCACAAACACGATACATTTTCTATTTAAATAACATTTGGTTTCGGCCAGTTTTACATTTATTTGTTTTTCTCCAGAGCAAGTTAATATACAAAAAAGCTTTCTTATGATTTTTCGATAAATTCACTATTTTAAAAGTTATTTAAGTTTAAAATTGAACTTGTAGTAATTTTTTCGGTTTTTTTACTTTGACTTCAAATTTATCATAATTTTTATGAAAATAAATTGTTAATTTTTGAAAATATGTGATTTCATTGTACCTATTATTGAAAAAGTAAAAATTATTGAAGAGAGATAAGTAAAAATTATTGCAAGAGATTCCGATAAATTAAAAAATTTTTATTACATTAAAAGAATTAAGTACGAAATTTAGTACGATTACTTTTTTACATAACCTTTTTATTTCTGTGAGATTTTACAAAATTTTATACGATTTTAGAAAATATTATACAATGAAAAATTTAGGCTGTAGCTAATGACGTAGAAATTTTTTTAACAATTATTTTTACGAAAAAATAAAATTTATAGTTACGCATGCGCACTAAAGTATGATTTAGTACTTCGACCACAAAAGGCAGAAGTCGCACTTCACAGATTTCGTGTCGCAAAGTTGAAGTTTGAAGTAGGTCAATCACCCATCGTCTTTGGCATCTTTTATAATATAATAGTATAGGTATTATATATCAAGTTTTATAAAACCCATTTTAGTTTTAGTTTTATTAGGCACGAGCGAAGCTTATTAAAAACTTGTATCTGGATAAGTTTATAAAACGAGTTGCATAGTAGTAGAGTATACTTTATCTACGACGAACACAAAAAAGAATTTAAACCCAATTATATTTGTTAAACATTTGACATCTGTCAAATGTCAACGAAATTAACCTCACTTTTCTCTAATATATAATAAAGGTAATTTCAGCCCGTGACTAAAGCGCCATAAAGTCACAGCTCGTCAATGTAGAAGTAGATAATAGTATATTATGTATCAAGTTTCATAAACGCCATTGTATAGAAAAGTTTATAAACGAGGTGCATACTATACTTTTTCTACGACAAATACTTATTATTATCTTAAAATGATTTAAATAAAAAAATTGTATAGAGCGCCATCTATGAAACAATAGGGGAATCTGTGTGTCACCGTCAAATGTCAAATTTTTACATTTTATAAACACAATTATAAAGGTTATAAATCGAAATGTATTTCTTGAAAATTGACAGTTTCTCACAGTGAAAGTAAAGAAAATGTTTTATGAGCACTTTACAGTGGAGTCCGTGCCCGAATTTAAGTTATAGTTTACTGCCGGCGAAATTAAAAGGTCAGTACAATGTTCATATAAACTTTTCAAATATTGGCGTTGAGAAACTATTTATTATTTTTGTATTTTTGTATTGAGATAATAAAATAATTTTCACATTTAGTATTATTTTACTAGAAAGGCACTTTATTTTAACGATTGTATGACATTTGACAACTGTCAACTAACTTAAAACTAACTTCAGCCCGTGACTAAAAACCTGTTGCTAACTTCAGCCCGTGACTAAAGCGCCGTAAAGCCACAACTTGTCAATGTGTATTTAAAAGGTCACTTAGTGTCATGGAAACATGTACGATAAAGGGCGTTTTAAAGGTGGAAGTAGAAAAATACATTTAACTTATTTGAAAATGATAATTGGTGTAGCGAAAATGTCTGCATCTTATACTCAAAACAACGTATGCGTAACTACGAATTTTATTTTGTCGTAAAAATAATTGTTAAAAGAATTTCTACGTCATTAGCTGTACTGAAGGAAAATTTTTTATTGTATAAAATTTTGTAAAAATTCACAGAAATAAAAAGATTATGTAAAAAAAGTAATCGTTCTGAATTTCAGTAAAACTACCAGATTCTTTTAATGTAATAAAAAAATTTAATTTATCGGAATCTCTTGTCAATAATTTTCACTTACCTCTTTTTAATATTTTTTAGTTTTTTAATAATACAATAAAATCACATATTTTCAAAAATTAAAAATTTATTTTTATAAAAATAATAAAAATTTTACAGTCAAAGTAAAAAAATCGAAAAAATTACTATAAGTTCAATTTTAACCTTAAATAACTTTTAAACCAGTGAATTTATCGAAAAATCAAAATAAAGCTTTTTAGTAAAGCGTTCAATTTCGTATAAAAATATGTATCAATTATAATTGATACAGCGAAAATTATCGCGTTTATTAACTTGCTCGGGAGAAAAAAAAAATATAAAACTTGCCGAACCCCCATGTTATTTAAATGGAAAATGTATCGTCGTTGTGGCACGGTTTAATATGAATATATTTTTTTAAATTTTTAAAAAAAAAATTTTTAGTCATAAACTAAAAATTTAGGGGGCGCTGCGAACAAAAAAACCAAGTTGGTAAATATTGGACACCCTAGAGTGTATATTGGGAAAAAATGTATTCTTACTTTTGCACCCTGTACAGGTTGATCCCCTATAATGTCGCCCCCCTTTAACTTTTTTATTTTAAGTTATTCGAAATGTTATCATTAAATGTTTTTTTAAACTGTTAGAAATCAAGAAGCCTCAGTATACCAAAATTTTTATTGAAAATAAATTATTATAGTGACATTATGTCAATATGTCGTGTTAAATAAGTAAAAATGGCCTACTCAGAGTCTCAGACAGAGAAAGACAAACTATATTTCAACTTATTATCTTAAAAATAATTTAAATATTTCAGAAACGGTTGAGTTTAGGTATATGGTATGTTATATGAAATATGCTTAGAATTTTACAAGGAATTGAAAAATAAATAAATATTTATGGTGATCCATTGAAAAAAAAATAAACTTTTTGTTTTTCCCTGTATACTGATCAATTTTACAATTTTCTTTATATGTAGAAAAAAAGTATTTTTAAGTACCTACATAACCTTACTTTGAAATAAAAAAGTTAAAGGGGGGCGACATTATAGGGGATCACCCTGTACAAATGAACTATCTTGAACTTGCCTCTTCAGGAATTTAATTTAATCTAAGATATATAGATTTTATTAAAATTACGTTATGTATAAGTAAATATTTTTCGATTTATACGAAGGATAAAATTAATTGTATTTTAATCAATTAATAGATATAATTTTATTAATTAAAATTTATACTGCTTGCAAAAACTCAGAAATATGGAGAAATGATTTTTACAAATTATTCTTTGAGTTTTTACTGATTTTAACTTTAATTCTAATTCTAACTAAGTTTGTGTTAATTTTAAAAAACAGGAGTTTATATGTGGTAAATTATCTCCAAAAATTAGTACTCAGGAATATAAAACAATTACTTTTTTTAAAGCAAAATCGACAGGATATATATTTTGTGAATTATACCCAAAAAGTAATACTGAACATATTAAGAAATTTAGTTTTTTCCAAAGAAGATAAAATTATGTAATAATAACACTAGTTTTCAGCCATTTTGCCCACCATGTCTGACTGATTTTCTTGTGTAGTTCGGCTCACTAAATTTTTTTTTAGATGAATTTTCAATTGATTTTTTTTTAATTTTATGAGGTGTTTTGACGTTTTAGAGTATACTTCGAGTTCTAATTGATCGATTTGACACTTAAATCAAAGGTAATTGAGCCCTCTACAACTTTCTCTTGTATAGTTTTGGTATCGACTTTAGTAGTTCGATACTGGCGATATTATGAAGTTGAAAAAGTCCTTTTTTACAAAAATCGAGGTCAAAAATTTACATATCTTCCTGGGAAAGATAGAAATCGAAAAGATATTTCCAGTTTGATTTATTTTACGTATAGATTATACTTAAAGGAAAAAAATAAGCTGCTGTTTATAAAAATCTATGGATAAATGGCGAAGTTATGAATTTTTTAGTGGAAGACCAAAATTCAGTTTTTCGAGAATTTTTAAGTTTTTTCTTCATTTTATTGAATTATATAAAATTTAATATTGAACATTGATTTTTATTTTAAACATTAAATATTAAAATTAAATTATATATTGAATCATTGAGTAAGATGAGTAAGATGATGATGATGATGATGAGTAAGATGATCCACTTCTTTACTCAATGATTAAACATTAAATATTGAACATTGAAGAAATTGAAAGTTTTATTTTGTTGTAAAAAGCATAGGTTTAAAAAAATTCTGGCTCCTTCTTTGTTTTTTGTTGCTTTCGTATTTCGTTTCTCGTATGAGGGACCAAATGTAATCAACCATCATGGCTGCATCCCAGAAGCCGTGATACCGCCGCTTCATAGCATTTTAAATTTCAAACTTTGTCGCCCTGTATATCGAACATGAAGCTCTAAATTGAAAAATGGTATTATGAAAGTCTTATTGTTTTAACTCAAGGAATATATGGTTAACGGATTGACCTCCTTTTCCCGGACACCCTGTATATTGAATAATGAACAATAAATATTGAACATTGAAGATTTTGGAAGTTTTATTTTGTTGTAATAAGCATAGGTTTAAAAAAAATCTTGCTCTTTCTTTGTTTTTTGTTGCTTTCGTATTACGTTTCTCGTATGAGGGACCAAATGTAATCAACCATCATGGCTGCATCCCAGAAGCCGTGATACCGCCGCTTCATAGCCTTCATTTGCTGGTGAAAACGTTCTCCGTGCTCATCACTTAACGTAATTACGTCGCCCAGATTGTGCGGGTTATTTACGCACTCGAACTATCTACTTCTTTTACTCATTTTACACTTTTTATTAACTAAATAAAACCATGATAAAAATATCTTGTTGAAATATCAAAAAATATCAGTAAAATGTCACTATATATGCATATGCCAACAAGAGAAACAAAAGTATTCACGTTTGCGGGGTCATGTCAAATTTAAATTTTGCATACCTAATGTTCTCGGTGAAAAAAGTACGTAAAAACTTATTAAAGAAGAAACATATTACGAAATAAAAGAAGAAAAAAAACTTCGCCATTTTTCCGTGGATTTTTATCAACATTAGCTTGTTTTTTTTTGTAAAAATGTCAGCTTTCTGAAAAAAAATCCCCAGGACGATATGTACATTTTCGACCTCAATTTTTGCCATAAAACCGAAAATTGGGTAAAGAATAACAAAACTACAGACGGTCAAAGTTGGTCCTAATTTTAAAAGGACTAAAATCGACAGTACTTTATATTTTGTGAATTATCCCCAAAAATTAGTATTAAAATTATATTACATTTGATATAAACATTTTTAAAATTGGGTAAAAAATAAGAAAACTACAGACTGCCCAAATTGGTCTTAATTTTAAGAGAACTAATTTGTTATTTGACCCCCCAATAAGAGCTCCAACTCTCTGAGGAAGTATTTTTGCTTAACACTTTGTATATTTTATCACAACCTTGCAAACACCATGTTATGTATGAATATTAACAACATAATAATGAAACATTTGGCCTTAGAAACTTAACATTTATAATTTAATATAATAATAACGTAAATGAAAATTCTTCGAATGGGAAACCCATATACCTACCTACGTATTTTTAGCTTATGTGATTTGTAAAAACACAATAACATTGTACTTTTCAGTTGAAAAAAGAAATTATTATGCATGTGTATTTCAAATTATAATATAATTTGTGGAATGTTTTTTTAGTGTGATTTATTATTCATTATATTTTTTATATGACTTATCTTGAATAATTAGAGTTATAAATTTAATAAAAATAGGTATATACGCGGTGTCCCAGAAAATTAAAATATTTTTGGTATTGTTTTCGACTTTTAATTACTAATTAACTAATTGATTCAGTATACTGTACTGGGTAATCTTTTAACTATTTATCTAAAATATTTCACTTACCTACATCTGATTTATTAATTAATATTATCTGTACAATTTGTTTAACTTAGGGTCTAAAATGTATAAGGGCGCCAATCTAAAAACACGAAATATATACTAAACATAATTTTCGTTCGAATTGTGTATGGACCAATGATGTGTTTGATCGATATGCGAAACGCTTATTGCTAATTTTATGCCAATTTTTTTAACGACCATTAAAGCTATTATTAGATTTTTTGTGCAAACAGTTCATGTCGTAAATGATTTTTGCTATGGCGTTTTTTTTATTTAAAAGTGTTTGTTTGCAGTTTTGGCCAAATTTAAAGTTGAGAGGTTATAAAAACAATGTACGTGTGCTCTTGAACGTCATAAAATAAATTAATAATTTTTTGATGACGTGTTTATACTTGCTTTGAATTTACATGGGAAAGTACAAGTACACCTAATGTAACGTAATGAAGAAGATGGGAAATTATTTATTTATGCGAGCATTGGGCAGACTTAAAAGGACGAATAAAACAATTTGCCATAACAGAGAGCAGAATCTCATTCCATTAAATAAAACGGTTAAATGCATCCTCTACTGTAGTGTACAACTCGTGGATATTATTTAATAATAACTAATATATGTATTTTTTTATCCTTGATGTCCCGGAAATAATAATATTATTATAAATTAACAAATTAAATTCAGCATTGAAGTTATAACTTAAAGTATACTTTATAAAAATATATATTTTTTCGTAACACCCTGTGTATATATCCTGCGAGTTTAAAAGAAAAAGTGTTTTATAGTTTTAAAATGAAGTATTTGTTTTACGGGATTTTCAATTCTGGTAAAAGTGGTTATTGAAATTTAAATTATTAATATTGACTGAGTAATTTTTACCTAAAGACGATTAAAAAACCACACCACACTACAACCATTGATAATAATTATAATTAGACAAAGCGTTTATCATAAAAAATGTGTATAATGACCAATTTTATTTCAAAAAAAATTAATTTATCGTTTTTTTATAAGTTGTGAAGAAAAAAGTAATTTGTTGTACGAAAATTAACGTTAAAGGTTAGAGTCGTGTCTCTATGGAAAAATAAAAATTGGCGCCCAAAAATATGGTTTAGGTACATTTAAATTTGCGAACAATTATAAATGCAATTTAAAAAAAATGGCACGTGCTAATACTATCTTCAAACTATTTATTTAATATTAATTTAAAAATAAATAACTCTTATTCATATTTCCTTTATTTCAAATTAAAAAAAAAAATTGGTCCCCCTGTCCTTCCCTATCTACGCCCCTGTAATTTAAAAAAAAATGTTTTCTTAAATAAATTCCGGTGGTGACAAATATTGAATACCTATATTCAATATCCAGGTATTTCTTATTAACATAAAGATAAAAATTAAATTGTAAATAAATAAGTAGGTACTTGATGTTAAGTTAACTTGACAAGGATTAAAAACATGTTTATAAATTTTTGTACCTAATTGTTGACTAACATTTTTAAGCAATTAACTTAACCCAAAAAATGTATAGAAATATTCCAGTTACCTACAATAATTAAATAAATATTCCGTTTAATTGTAAGTAAATACAAATCTCACCTCGATCTAAAACTATTTAGCACCACCACTAAACTGAACTGGGTAAACGCAATAAAAAATCAAAAAGTTGAAATTTACCTACAGCTACCTGAAATTAAAATAATCTTATTTCTTAGTATCATTTAAGGGTTAATAATAAACTGATTAAATACAATTTAACAAATCATTTTAATTTAATTGAAAATCGGCTGTTGTACTTTCCATTTTGAAGGCTGAAATTGCACAAGAAACTCATTCAATGCTTCCTTTGGGGCTAAGCAGGTGATTAAGTATTTATAGCCAATTTTACAAATTGTTAAATCATCCTATATATCGAAAAAACAGCGATTCAAACCAATTAATTGCATCATTTTCGCGTATTTGAATGTTTTATACCTCTAAATCAAATTTAAAACGGTTTTTTAAAGCTAAAAAGAAAGAATTATTTAAACAATTTAAATTACGGTTGATAGCGCCATCTATTGGCAAATTGTTTTAGAAATCTGCATTAACGAAGTGGGCCATGTTGATAGATGTCGCTGCTTACAATCCTAACCTAAAAGTTTGTTTATTTTGTTGTTTTCTTTGTAAATATTGTTCGAGTTGTATAAAAATCATTATAATTGTTATAAAATGGTGCACGAGAAGGTGTCAAGTGAGTTTTCAGCCCTCTGCAAGTTAGATGTGGAACAAAAAGTGAAAACATATTTTTAATTTAAAATAGCCAAATACCTATAACAAAAAATTGCAGTTACAGCCCGTTTTAACATCTGTAGACGACATGCTAGCCCGTTTGGAAGAACTAGAAACAATACTAACCTTCGCAAAACAAGATCGGCAAGAATCTGATAAAGTTATGAAATCAATCGCAAGAGATCTAAAACAAGACGTAAACGATTTGTGCGCGAAAATTGACGGTATTGAGAGTTTGGTGGGGCACATAACAAACAATTTGGATGCTCTGGAAGAAAACATTTGCAAGTACGAGCACGAAATGGGTGTCACCGATGGTTCCAGTAAAGTCAGCCAAATGTTCATTCCGTTGTTTGTAAGTTTAGGTTATGTAATTTTGGTTTTTTGGGGCTTTATATTTTATTTTGCAGAAAAAGACGCCGGAAAAGAAAAGTACTAATAACACAGAGATGTTTAAGACTGAGAATTATTTTAAGTGAGGTTTTATTTATTAAAAAAATGTTTTTATATAGGTAATATTATATTTTATATTATAAATGGCATATATTATATTTAGGTACACAATAAATAATTACATAAATATACATTAAAATAGTTTTTGACAGTCTTTGTACATAACCTCCACACTTTTTGACATTTAGATGGAAAAACAAGTAGGCAGTTTGACAACTGCCAATAGAAAGCTTGGAATGTAAATATTGGTGGCGTCACAAAACAAAAAGCGATGTTAAAATTCGATTTAAATTTTTTAAAATAACGCGTGTAATAAAAAACAAAATCACTCAAATCTAACGTGTATATTTCTCGTGTGTATCCTCGATGTGTTTCTGGTTGCATACTCGACTTCTTCGAGAAAACTAGTGGAGTTATGCACATAAGTGCCCCCCAGTAGAATGTTAAAACTGGGGTAACTTTTGTTGAAGGAATGCACGGTTAGCGATTCTTCGTATGTGGTTCCCCCGACGATGAAAACAATTATGTCTTGGGGCCGGCCGGTGTTCGACTGGTTGCCTACGTAGGGATAAAGGCTTTCGCGAAGCCTACCTTTTACTAGTTCTTCCAAAGTGTCGTGTAAAAGTGGTTTGTGTTGAGTGTAGACGTTGTCAACGCCTGAAAGGCCTTTGAAAAATCGTTTTGTTATCTTGACAGCGTTTTCAACGTTGAATAAGTCGCTTTGTCGAGCATGGGAACCAGCGTATTCTAGTAAGTTTATGATGTTTTTTGTTAATGTTTCACTTACATGGCGTTTTTTTAAAACATTAATAAGTCCTGCTATGTCGTTGTTGCTGTGATTTTGATATCTTAGAGAGTACAGCATTACCAATTTAACAGCATCAAAATTCCTAACCTTATCATTATTTAGTAATTTCTTAATACTTTGTAAGTGAGAAGAATGGTCATTCTGCGAAGAAATTTCCTGCTCCACTTCAGAAACATCAAGTAAATAATATTTATTCACCATAGAACTCAACTCTCCCACTACAGTCACATGTTTAGTGACATTCCCCGACAACTTCTTAAACTGCGGATACGCCTCAACAAAATTCTTCATATCTGAAATACTTTCAATTTTCTGGTGACTTTTTGCTTTAGCCTGGAACTGATCCATCAGCTGTTTTATATTCTGCCCTATCTCACCATAATTCATGAATATATTTTTCGCGTAAAATATGTCTTGTTCGGCCGATAAAACAACTTCAGATAATTCTTTTGATACACTGGGGTTCACGTTCAGTAAGTTGACGCGGTTGTTGTTTATCGTCAGTAATTCGTGCACCATGGCCTGGTAAGTCCACTGGTTTAACAGGGGGGTTATAGGATCATCCCTTCTGTCCAATATTAGCAATAATGGTTGACCATTTTGCCCGTAAGAAAATAAAGACGACTCCTTATTCATAACCTCATCAATTCTACCCGCCAATTCCCTACAAGCACTTGAATTGGCTTGATACCTTATTAAAGGCGCCTTTTTCAGAGATAACAACAGCGACACTATACCCTGTACACTGCGTTGTAGAGCTGTAGAAATCCACGATGTACCATTAAAACAAACTGGCAAACCAACAGAGAATAAATGTGGATTAACGGCTAAATAATCCATGTAAAACTCCTGAACTTCCTTCACAACTTCCTGCTCATCATGCTCAGCAATCACCTTAATATCAGCCTTAGCTATAATATTGCTGAAGTAAATATAATACGCCCCATATTTTGGCTTTCTCAACTCATTACACAGTGCCTCGATGTTCTGCGCTGTAGGCCGCAGAAACACCAAACATTTCAAATATCTCAGCCCCGTAGAGTGCCTGTAGTTCGCAGAATCTATTCTCTCCAACAAAAACACCTCTTTCTGCTGTATCTCTGACTGTCCATAAACCATACTGACAACGCTCGTAGTTTCTTTATCCATCAACAAAACTTTCATGCCCGGTTCGCTTTCTTCCGTCATTTTCAGCACGTAGGCCTTCACGGCAGATATAACGTTCATTTTGACGTTTACCGTCACAACAAATTACGTTTTTTTGACGTTTAGTTATCAGGGTACATTTGAACTACTGTTGTCATTGGTCAGTTGTGTACTTGTAGTAGAGGGCGCTGCTTGACAGTGCTGCCGCAAGGCTAAAAATAAAATCCCTATAAATCAACAACAAATGTCACTGAAAATGCCGTCTGTTGCAGTTATTTAGTAAAAGTAAATAAATAACGCATTTTGGATGATTTCGGAAAGGTAATTTGTTGTATATAACTCAGAATCAACATAATGCAAAATTAATAATTATGTTTTTTAATGGTTATATTAGACTCCCTGAGATGGTTGCCGAATCGAATATATCCATACCGGAGCATCACATAGGTACCAGAATAGAATGTAATGAGTATTTCGGTACGATAAAATACATCGGCCCCATTGAAGGGCACCCTGGAACATGGTTAGGTATAGATTGGGACGATTTGCAACGTGGTAAACATAACGGCTTAGTAAATGGGATACAATATTTTGAAGCCAAATACCCCAAGTCTGGTTCTTTTGTGAGACCTGAAAAAGTAAATTTTGGACAGACGGCAATTAATTCCATCATTGCAAGATATAGAAGCGAAAACGACAGTTTGGCTAAAATTTACGAGGAGGAGTTGTTGAGTTTTCAGAAATCCATTAATGCGCCCTTTCTTGAGCTTGTAGGGTTCGATAAGGTAGCAGATAAGTTAAGGTTAGTATCCCCTGAAAAAGGCAACACTGCAAGCACACAATAAATCTAGTAGCTTTGGGGTTGTCATGGCAACAAACCAAGTTACATACACCTTTGGCAACAAACCAAACATGATTTTCCTTTGGTAGTATAAACAATGAGGTTATGTCAAAGTAAAACTAATTTTAGCGATTTTGAGTCATTGCAAATAGTAAATTTGCGTCTACAAAACGTGAGGTCTCCTGGTGAGCCCATGCAATTAAAAAATCTATGTCCAAGTATTAGAGAGTTGGATATTTCGAAAAATTTGTTGTGTTCCTGGTTGGATATTTTTGATATTTGTATACAACTTGAACAGTTGGAATGGCTGAATGTCAAGTGAGTAACTACAGGGTGTTTACCTGTTATTGTATGTACAAAATGTGCGATTTTAGCGAAAACATTTTGTCCCTGCCAGAAAATTACACCGATTACAGTTTTCCCAACATAAAAACCCTCATTTGTGGGTACATGAACTTAAAGTGGAGCGATATTTTAAAGTTAAGCATAGTATTTCCGAATGTTGAGGAATTAAGGGTTCCATACAATGAAATAACAGCTTTGAGTGTACCCTTGAGGCACAACTTTAAAAAACTAAAAACCCTAGATTTAGAGGGGAATTCCATTGGAGATTGGTCAGAGATAATGAAGTTGTCTGTGATTAGTAATTTGCAGCAGTTAAATTTGGAGAATATTAAGTTAAAGGAGATTTTATTTGATGAAAATTTGGAGGTGTATCCGAATTTCACCAAAATTAATATCAGTAACAATGTAATTGAGAATGTAAGTTTTAAAATACTTAACACAAAATTAGGGGGTATGGACATTGGTTTTACTTATAGTGGAGATCGGTGGGGGAGCTTAATAAACTGCCAATATTGGAGGAGTTACGATTGGCCAAAAATCCAGTATTAGATTTGGAAAATCTGGCAACAAGGGAAGCACTAATAACAGCCAGAATTGCCTCGTTAAAAGTAAATTTTAGAATATTTTGGTATTGCATTTTTACGTTATTTTTTTATAGGTTTTAAATGGAAGACCAATATCTTCAGATGAAAGAAGAGGTGCAGAAATCGATTACATTAAAAAATATGGTTTGGAGTGGTTGAAATGTAAAAATACCCCCTTAGAGAGGCAATTTGTTTTAATGCATAACAGATATTTGGAATTAATTCAAAGTAAGTTAAAACAATTTTTTTTACAACTACTTTGTAGGATTGGGAATAATGTCTTGGTCCAAGACCTTCACAGATATTTTAAATTTAAATTGACATTATTAAAACAGTTATTTCTAGCTTAAGTTGACATATTTAAGACAGATATTCTAGATTAAACTGACATTCTTATAACAATTATTTCTAGCTTAAATTGGCATTCTTAAACAGTTATGTCCTATCCTAAATTGATATTTTTGAAACAGTTATTTTAAGCTAAAATTGACATTTTAAAGACAGTTATATTGTAGCTTAAATTGACATTATAATTTAGCCTAATTTGACATTATTAAAACATTTATATGTAGCTTAAATTGACATTTTTAAGACAGTTATTTTTAGCTTAAAATTGGCATTCGTTAAACAGATATTCGTCTAGCTTAATTTGACAGTTATATTCTATTGTAAATTAACATTTTTAAGGCAGGTATTTCTATCTTAAATTCGCATTCTTAAACAGTTATGATCTAGCCTAATTTGTAATTTTTAAGACAGTTATATTCTAGCTTAAATTAACTTTCTTAAAATAGTTATTTCAAGCTTAAAATTGACATTCTTAAACAGTTATGTTCTAGCTTAAGGTAACTTTCTTAAAATAGTTATTTCAAGCTTAAAATTGGCATTCTTAAACAGTTATGTTCTATCTTAAATTGAAATTCATGACAGCTATATTTTAGCCTAACTTGACATTCTTAAAACAGATATATAAAATTGGTATTATAGCTTAATTTTGCATTCTAAAACAAGTTATTTCTAGCTTAACTTGACAGTTAAATTTGAGCTTAATTTGACATTCTTAAAACAATTATTTGTAGCTTAAAATTGACATTAATTAAACAGTTATATTCTTCTAGCTTCATTTGACAATTACATTCTAGATTAATTTGACATTCTTAAGACAGTTATATTCTAGCTTAAATTGACATGCTTAAAAGTTAATTGTAGCTTAAAATTGGTATTTTTATACAATTATTTTTTAGCCTAATTTGACATTCTTAAGACAGTTATATTCTTGTCCAAATTGACATTTTTAAAAACACTTATTTTTAGCTAAAGTTGACATTTTAGACACAGTTATATTTAAGCTTAATTTTTATTTATAGTTATTTCTAGCTTGTTGACATTATTAAGACAGTTATATTCTAGCTTAAATTAACATTTTTAAAACCGTTATTTCTAGCTTAAAATTGGCATTCTTTAAAGAGTTATGTTCTGGCTTAAATTGACCTCTAAAAAATTATTTCTAGCTTAAAATTTGTATTCTTAAACATTCTTGAGAAAGTTATATACATGATAAAAATAAAAAGGTATGTTAAGTAAGGGAGTAGTGCTCTCCCTCTCGTTTCCATTACTTACCTCTATTTTAAATGTTTTATTAAGGTTAGGTATGTCATTGGAATTGAGGTTAGGATTTTGTCACAGGGCTAAAGGTCATTCCTCTGAACACAGAATTGTGTTCAGAATTAAGAAGAAGAAGGATTTTGTCACTGACAGTAGAATAATCTTAAAATGACATTTTAAAGACATTTATTTTTAAAGATGGTCAATATTTCCATTAAACCTTAAGAATCTTAATCTTAAAAAATACTTTTTAAGCTCGTTTCAGACTATGCAACTTCTCGCATAGCCAACCAGCTGACCAAACTTGTCTTAAAATAATACTTAATATGGTCTAAGATTGGTGCCTACTCAATATTTATCAACTGTGGAATGACATATGCGCCATTTTTTGTTTTTTGAAAAAGCTTCAAAAGCAATATGCTAAAGAAGCATCGCTATTAGCGCCACCACGCGACAGTTATCATCATTAGAGTTAAGGTTTTAATAAGCAGCTGTCAAACGCGTTTGTTACTAACGAGTGTTTTTGAGAATAAAGCCGGAAAATGTTAAATATATCGGGAAAAAAACCGTGGCACGATTTGTTGTGTTGTTGGGTGTTTTTTTAGAGAAATTCCTGGGTTGAGTTTTTACCGGTTTCCCAATAAACAGTGGAAATCCGAATGAAGAAATAAATTGCATATAGTCCCTGTAAATATAAATTGCACCTATTAGTTACAATAATTACACATTTTAGTAATGATTTACGTAAAAATTGTAAACATTTCAATTCAGTAAAAATCATAAAACAAATAAGTCGTCTAAAGTCAAACAGCATTTAGCATTATTAAAAGCAAATATATTAATATTTGATTTTAAGGTTATGTTTGTACAACAATTATCTTTTGTTAGATTTCTAAAAAATGTCCAAACTTAAATATAAATTATCATAGGTAAAGTTATCATTAGTTAATTCTGCACCAACAAATATACGTTCCGAATTGGATCCTTTGGCAAAACATGAAAAGCAACGATTTAGTTTTTGACTTTTATTTACAATTAAAAGCACAATAATTCACCATGATCACTTAGATAAAATACACACACCAACGTAACTATATAAGCACATAAGCGTTGAGTTTCTTAATCAATGAAACAAGGAATAATAAATCGAAATCGAGTAGTAAACCAAAGTTTTTTAGTTTTACTTGCAACACGAAACACAAATACCGTGCGCGATTTAGCTGCACAATTGAACAAAATTTGTAGAGTAAGACTCCTCTTTTGCGAAAAAACTACTTACCTTATGTGCAGTTTGTAGGCTTTAAATTTATTGTTGACAATTCTTGAACTCACACAATGCTATCGAACACCACCAGATGGCGTGAGCGTATACAAAAATGTTTTTATTAAATATTTTTAAATCAAATAAAACATTTGCCGGTAAAATTAATTTTGTCAATAAATTTACATATTTTCAGAATACGGTTGTCCTGAAGAAAGAGAACTGCTCATACAACCAAACATACTAAAAACAGCATTAGTCAGCCTAAATCTAACCTACAATAATAAAACTATAACAAAAAAACTACCCCCCACAATTCTAGTGCAAAAGCTGATAATGATGGTGGAAAAACTGTTTAAACTGTCGGAAAGACCTAGGCTTAAATATGTGAGTGGTCTAAGAAAGGAGATTGAAATTGATTTGGACGATGAAATGAAAGAAATCGGTTACTATTCGATTCAAGAGGGGGATAATATTATTGTTTTAACTTGATTCTCTAAAAATGTGATAAATTACGTTTATTTATTCCTTTTTTTATTAACTATGTTTTAATAAATAGTTTTGCAATTTACATTTTTTTATTTCACTACCCAACCAGCAAACACCTTGTACTGGGCCTTTACAGGAATGTTTTGAAAAAATATTAATTTTTATAAAAGGTCTTGCAATGGCCCGTTTCAGGCTAATATTTTACTATAAAAGACTTTTTCAGTATCAAGTTAATGGAACTTAAAAACCCATTTTTGTATATAAAACTTACATGAACCTTTGGTTAAGAGATATGGTACAAATTCAAAAAAAAGCAGTACGATTTATTAAAGTATTATAAACAAAATACAAAAAAAAAGTTAACATAAATGCTTAACAATTTTTTTTATTATCGTATTATCAGAACCTAAATTAAATTTATTTGTACCTAGAGTAAACTTGCGTCAAACTTTTACATTCTATCCTGGTTTAGCAAGGACCAACATACTTAAAAAATCTTCGATGCATACAATGTGCTTAAACTTTAATAATGTTAGCTTAGATTGTGATTTATTCTTTTGTAAGTTAAGCGATCTTTTGGCAATATGTAGGATATTTCTACAATTATAGTGAATTATTTATCATATAATTATATAACATAATCAACTTTTGTTTTAAAACAGTTAGGTTTATTTTTAGTTGTTTCTTTTATGAATGCATTTGTATCTATTATTATTATAATTATTGTCCTGTAATAGGATTAATTTCTGTTGGGCAAATAAAGATTATTATTATTATTTAGCACGCCATATCAAAAAATGGAATGGTTTTTGTAAGTGCCTTTATTGACTGCCGTTACATGCCCATTAAAGGTGAACGCGACATAATATGTACACTTCCATTAGAGAGCCTTTATAGGGCCTTAAGTTCATTAAAGGCACGTTTATAAAGGGCCATTATAGAACCTTTACGGTTGTTTGCTGGGTACCCTTTAAAGAAATCCGGCAACGTCGGAACATTTAACCGTTTAAAACCGCAGTGCTGCCAATCAAAGTTTTATTGCTATCTCGGATTATTTTTTTTTTGGTTTGTTCCAACAAAAATAGTTCCAAAACGACATTTTAATTGTTTACTAATTATTTTTATTTTACATTTTTAATTATTCTTATATTTTGAGATGTGCTTATATTTCAATCTAAATACATCAAAAGCTGACCATTATTTATAAAAACACACCTATATATTTAAAAAAATCAGAGTTGGGAATCGAAGCGTTTTGGTAATATTAATGAAACACCCTGTATTTATTTCAAATTTGTATTACTTACAAATTTTTTTAAATCTTCTCAAAACAAACTAAAAAGTTTTCCCACTCTTCGGTAGTGGACCATCTATGCATCAAAATTGATCTCATTTGTTTTTTTGCATCCCAAATACCTTTTACTGCTTGGGAGGTCCAAAATTCTATCATTTCCGCGACATCTAAATCCCACTTTGCTCTTTCAAGGTTTGCTTTCTCGCATTTAATCATCTCGTCGTAAAAATGATCATACATATCGAGTTCACCTTTATCAAATCTCTCTCCTAGTTTTTTACAAATTTCCACATATTTTCTAAACAAAAATGGAATCATTAATTTTTAGTAATAAAAGGCTTAGTATTAAGAAGGCCCGAACTTATTTTGTTTAAATCATACATTTTATAAAATATGCTTTTAAATAAAACCAATAAAGGCTACGTCGTTTGACGATGTGGATCACCTGATGTTTTTACATCTCGCCTCTGTTGGCTTACCAACCGAGCATATAAGCTCAGGGAGTCCTTTGTTTTGAGTGTGTTCCACTACATCGAGTTGCCCGACACTGATGAGACCCAATACATGTCGAAACAGCTGTCTGTCGGTATTTGAAGTTGGTGGAACGCACTCAAAACAAAAAAAGTTGGCGAGGTGTAGGTTCAATTTTTTCTTAAAACCATTTGCAATTTTCCTCGAACCAAAGTCTTTTTATTTACTTTTAAAATCAGGACGTTCTTATTGACCCTTCATAATATATTATTTCAAAAAATGAATAACTTACTTTATTATTTTAGGAGTGTCCTTTCCATCGTCTCTATAAGCATACATACAATCTAAAATAAATTAAATAATTATGTTTGGGATTTTTTTTTAATTATAATTATAATGTATCAATTGGTACACCCTGTCAGAGTTGGGAGTACTGAGTATTTTTTTTAATGGATTATGCTATCATTACTAATTATTACTTGATTTTATAATTGTAATGAGAGAAAAATATTGAGTACTTTTTATTTTTACTTTACCAATTTGATAATTACAATTCTTTTTTTATTTTGTAATTATAATCAGAGAAAATATCAAGTACTTTTTATTTTAACTTAAAATGTTTACTGATTCAAAATATTTTTTTATTTTATTTGATAATTTGATAATTACAATTTTTTTTTTATTTTGTAATTATAATCAGAGAAAATATCAAGTACTTTTTATTTTAACTTAAAATGTTTACTGATTCTAAATATTTTTTTATTTTATAATTAAAAAATAATAAAGAACAGAATACATTATATATATATATATATATATATATATATATATTTTTTTTTGATTTGATTAGAATGGTGAATAAGGATACTTCCGTGCTTGTTTATGGTTTTATTGCGACTAGTTTCGATCTATATTAGATCATCTTTAGACAAACTACAAAAATATGTAAAATTATTATAAGGTTATGTTAACATAATAATGATAAAATTAACGCCGTGTCTAGAGTCCCGTCAGACGGTTCCCTATTGCGCTCCCGTTAACAGAGTGACGTCATCCAATGACGCAATCTTAGGACGGGAAGCAGATATTTTTTCCTTAACTAACGTCCCGAGTCCGCCCGCTTCGAAACCAACCCAAACCAAACAACCCAACCCAACCGACCCCGTATATACAGTATTTATAATTATTAATTAGATTTTGTTTTTTATTTTCAGTCGGTCCCGTTAAAAAATACTTCGTACTTGTATTTTCATTTATATTTTAAGTACAATCAATTTTTTACTTTGACTTTAAACTTTTTGCATTACGAAGTACTAAAAAATATTATTTATTCAAATTAATAAGTACAATTATTTTTGTATTTTTACTTTAAATCAATTTAGAGTAAAAAATACAATGTCTTGATAATTTTTATTTTCTCCATTCTCAAGTAACTTAAATATTCTAATGGCAATACTTTTTAAGTACAAATTATTTTTGTATTTTTACTTTAAATCAATTTAGAGTAAAAAATACAATGTATTGATAATTTTTATTTTCTCCATTCTCAAGTAACTTAAATATTCTAATCGCAATACTTTTTAAGTACAAATCTCGCAACTCTGCACCCTGTATATTAAAGTTACAAAATCTTTTCAAAACTGAATCTTAAATGGGATAATATAAGTCAAAAATTTCTATAGAAATATATAAAATAAAGGCCATTTCTAAATATTTTCTTTTAATTAGACTATTATAACTGTTTGTAGTTTTAAACTAAACTTATTTAGTATCCCAAAAAAAAAGGTTTAAACGGGATGATTCCAATTTTTTGATACTCGTACAAACTCGACAGTCGTGTAAAAAGATTTTCCCGAATGTTAACTTCAATACAAGGGAATACTAAATGTCTTCGAATACAATATAATAAATTAAATACTTACCAATGTATAGGAGCATCATTAAGGCAAAAATGATAAATTTTTCTAACATGTTTAAATATTTAATATTTTTATAAAAGAAAATCGTTACTTTTATAGCTCATGTAATCAGCTAGGTAGGTAACAAAAAAGTTAAAAATTCAAACACGATTTAATGAGACTAAAAAATGTTATAATTATGAACAAAAATGGCGATAAGAAAATATTTTTAACCAATATAACATGTCGGGAATTTCTAAAATATAATAGTAAGTAATATCATAAGGCCCTTATGATAAGGGCATCTAATTTTTCCGAAAAAAATCGAAAAAACACGTTGCTAAGTAATATTTTAACAAAACGCATGAGTGCTGGTGGCAACAAAAATACGAGTCGAAGACGAGGATTTTTGCACCTGCACAAATGCATTCTGTTAAAAAATATTACTTAGCATTGTGTTTTTGCGATTTTTTTCACAGGAAAAATTAGATGCCCGAATGGTATTTGACAAGACTATTTCATGAGTAACAGTTAACAATTAAAATATAAATTGAAATTTTTGGTGACAACAGCTGTCAAGTTTTGCCGCGGGTAAACTCGAAAAAACTGCTGACAGGTGCTGTCACACAGTTTTTTCACCTAGAAACCATTTGTAATTCAAAATTGCGCGTTTGTGATTGGTTGAAATTAAGACGAGGGAAATTTCCCTCTATTCCGTCTATTAATAGTCACTACAATTACTTTAATTGGTTTTCCCTCCTGAAAAAGACGGGTAATACCGGATGATTGCGGATAAAAAACCAAGCTAGTTTTATGTCCATTTATATCTGTTTTCATCCGACATATCTGATTTTACCCGGCATGTCGGTTTTTATCTGCAATTGCGGGTATAAATATTATCCGCCAACGTCGGGTTTTATCTATTTAGTTCTATGTCTGCTTTCATCTGGTTTCATCCGCAAATTCCTCGTCTGATTTATCCGATTTCACTTGCAAACATCTGCTTTTATACGCGAACATCTATTTTAATCCACAAACTGTTTGTGACAAACATCTGATTTTATCCGCAAACATCTGCTTTTATCGGCAAACATCTGCTTTTATTCGCAAACATCTGATTTTATACGCAAACATCTGCTTTTATCCGCAAACATCTGCATTTATCCGCAAATATCTGCTTTTATCCGCGAACATCTGCAAACATCTGCTTTTAATTGCAAACCTCTGCTTTCATCCGCGTTCGGTTTGCCTGCATTTCCTTTGCCCATTTCGGTCGTGTTTCGTACGCAAACGTCTGGTTTCATTCGCGCTTTTTGTTTTCCTTTTTCTCGTGTATACTTTAGTTTAGTTTACCTGCTTTGTCAAATTTTACTGAGCTTTAACTAACTGGTTGTTAGCCGTTCACGGCACACAAC